GTAAAATTGGAGTTTTGTTACTGTTGGTTTTGTTTTTTTTCTCTAGTAAATCCTGTTCATTAAATTGTTACAGACATATCAAAATGAAATGTATGCGCAGAAGTTACATTGTTTGACTGCAAGATTGGATTAATAAATTCTGGTTCAGATTAGTTACATTACATTGAGTTGATAGAAGACTTTCATACCCGATTTCTGAAGAAGTGCAGAAGCTGTTCAACATATATGCACAAACATTCTTAAATGTGCACACGATTATTGGAATTGTATATAGAGCTGATGTGAAGAACCAGTTGTTCAAGTGGTTATAGATGCAGGAACAATAAATAATTGTGCGTATAAAGAAGCTGCAGAAATGTTCACGTCGATACCTGGGGTTTTTAACTGCTTAGAGCGTTACTGGTCTAACAGTCGGATGAGTAAGCGAACTCGAGCATTACCTTGCTGAAGTCCAACTCTAAGCACTTGAAGATGTCTTATATGTGTTTGTTTATTAAACTGCTTGCATTTTTGCTTCTGTTTGTGTTCAGAAGTGCTTTGGCCTTTGTAACACTGAATAGTTAGGTGCCTACCTTGTGCTGAAACCTGAATTTTCAGCTAAGTGATTCTGGTGAACTTGCTGAGAGCCAGACAGATTATGTGTATCATACTTCTGGGAAAAAGTCTTTCTCTATATAAAAGAGATGCCACTCTGTTAAACCTAGTTGTTAAGCTGTGACCAGGCTTGTTTTTCAAGGAACTGGGATGTCAAAAATAATATCTGACCTGTGCAATGGAGAAGGTTGCAGAGACTCCACAAAGCAGTACTGTATGAGCTGTCTCTAGAAGTGGAAGCATGACAGCCTTCCTCAGGTGATGATATATGGGAACTTGTCTCCTAGGCTGAAGTTAGTGGTACTCCAGTGTTACCATTCTGATCTGAGGACCTGAGATACTAATTCCACGGTGTTTTGTGTCTTGAAGGTGGATGTTGCATAGTAAGGGCATACCATCAAAATTTGTTACTTAGTGGGCAGTGTTTACAAATGTCTTTGTAGCATAAGGCCATAGTTAAACGGGAATGTTTTGGTTTTTCAGGGAAAGGATTTAATCCTTATTGTGAGCGGTTTGATGGATAATGAGTCTGTAAGCAGAAGATTTGAATTCATGTGAGTTTAAAATCTGTTAGGAAACTTGCCTGTAACTTTCTCTGTGGGAAAGATGTGAGGCAGTGTATGTACCTGGATTATTCTCATGCATCTCAGTGTAGATGATGTAGACCTTCTGCATCAATTCTTTTGCATTTTTCATTGAACCAATTAGTTGATTTATGCAGTTAAAGGCATGCTGTAAGTCGTCTTCTTGTTGCAGTTTTATGCTTTCAGAGCTTATCTGGGTGTGGTCTAGTATGAATTTCTCAGCTGGTATCTGACAATCTGGTTTGTGGAATCAGTTTTGCAAGAATGATGTTGTAGCAATCATGCACTCCTAGTGCTACATAGCTGTGTGCTTCTGAACCACAGAGATATGTTTCTTGCCCTTTACAGGTAGGAAAGCTGAAGCACAGAGGTCCGTGAACAGCTCAATGGCAGAATCTCAGTGTCAGTGTAGTAGCCACTGAATCTTAGCATGTACAGTCTTGTGTACATTTGTTAGCCAAGGATAGTACAGTGCTTCTCACTGTTTTCATTCCATACGATGGAATCCAAGTTTTCTATCTCAAGGAAGACTGACTAGTAGTGTTCAGTGAACATTGTGCTCAGTGAAATGAGAGTCATGCTACAAATCCTGTCTGTAAGGAAAATCACTGTAGCTGTGGGAAGTCCATCTGATGACTTGAAAAATACTCTTATTTGTCTAAATCTGTTTCTACACCAGATTGCTTTTTTTTTTGCTACAGCAGTTTCTTGTTTGGCAACTGTTTTGTCTTTTTACTGATGAATAAGCCAACCACCTTACCTTACATAAGTTTTTCAAATGTTTCTCTGAAGTTTAAAGAAAAAAAAGTTGAAAAATGAAAACATCTAAACATCTTTCCCATGCCATATTCTAATGCAGTGACCTAACTGAATTTAGTACGTGTCTTTTTAAGAAGTGAAAACATGTAAAGAGGTAAATGCTGAAATTCTAACTCTAAGTAATTTGGGGAGGAGAAGAAGGTAAGGTTCTCATTTACCTGAAAATGTAATTGCACTGTTTCCTCACTGTAAGAGTATTGCTGCATCCACCCTTCTCTTTGTAAAAGATGAGTCGCTTCAAATTGGACATTGTTCTAGCCAGCAATTACATCTGAAAGAGGCAAAAGTGGTAATGCATCTGAACCATATAGGTCAACCATGAAGCAGATTAACCTAATGGCTTTGTTGCTGCTCTGTTGGAAAGTAAGATGGCTATTGGTCTTTCTTGAAGAATTTTATCTGAAGTATTTTAGAATGTGATCCAGAATAGAAGCTCTGAAATCAATATTAAAACACTTATAAACCACAACTATTATAATTGGATTTGGTACTTTTAAACTGCCTCAGAAATGGAAAAGGATTTTGCAATTAGGGAATAATATGACAAACAAATTGGCCTCCTCCCATACCTTTTTACCAGAAATGGCTAATTTGTCTGTAAATTATATTGGTCATGCATTTTATTTACATTATTGAAACATACAGACTTTTTCTGCGCATTTGCTGTAAATCTAAGAACAGTCAGTTCGGAGGAAAGAGAGAACTTGTTAATTTAGTTGATATTCCTAAGCACTTGATTATTGTGTATCATTAATAAATCCCATGTAGTTTTTATTGACTTCTATAGCATGGTGAATTCAATTGCATTCTAGCGTGTGGTTTGTTTTTGTAAAATGAAGTTCATAATGGTCACATCATAAGTAACTGGCCAAATATTTTGGGCAAAATACAGCAGACTTTCTTGTGCTGGACTTGAAGCATAATGCACCAGTGACCTTCCTTTTTGGTTTGTGTTTTGCTTGTTTGTTTGTTTGTTGTTTTTTTTTTTGGGGGGGGGTGCTTTTTTTTCTTTGACTGTGCTTCAGAAGATGACGTACTTGGTCTGTATCACAGTTCAGTTTTACTTTTTTGAAACAGCATTGTGGTATGAATTTGGGTCAGTTTATCATTCTCAGTCAATACTGATTGTACTGTGTCATGCATAAATGAGTGTTTCTGAGCAGGTTCTAACAGAAGAAATTTAACTTCTGTGGACCTTGCAGCTTACCATATTTTTCAGTTGCATGGTTAAAAATTAAGTTGATGCTTCTGTCCATTGTTTTTCATGATCACACATAATAATCCATACCCAGTCATTTTCTACTCAGTGTATGTGTACAGGCTATCTATGTTAGTATTCCTTGATTTTGTTTGTGTTCAGTTCTGTTAGAAATGCTCTTTGCTCTGTGTGGTTTGATTTTCGTCAAGCATATATTCAACTCCTTTTTAACATCAAAAATATTTTGTTAATAGTTAGCGTTTGTTTTCGTCATGCTGGTAATTACAGCTTTGTGATTAGTTCTGGTACTGCATGAAGTATGAGGGTGGAGGTAGATTTGATATATTTGTATTTGAAATATTTTGGAAGGCAAAAGACTTACAAAGCAACATTAGGAAATAGAGTGCAGAAGTTGTTTTAGAGACTAAGTCTCAGTTCAAAGAATCTCTGCAAGCCAACTTTTTAAGGTTTTGTGCTCTCTATTTGCTTACTTTTCTAGTGATACTAAAGTTGAAAATATTTTGTTGCAGCAGCACAGTGAGACATCAGTGTTCCTGTTAGCAAAAATCATGTAAATTTGACATGAGCTAAGGTAGTCTAAGCTGGAACTGCTCTGACTGCAATGGTGGAACAGTTCAAGAAGCTGTATGTTTGAGTGAAGAAGTTTTTTAATACGTATTTTATTATTCTGAAGATGTTAGTTCCTTTCTCCCTAACGATTTAATTCTCAAAGAGTTGCATATTGTTTGCTGCTTGGTTTCTATTCAGGTTACATAGGGTAACTCCCTTCCTTTCTCTCCCATTGTGGTTAACGGTTCATACTGCTTTGGTACAGTTAGAAAGTTTCTGTGCAGTTTTGCTACTGTTCTGTCATGTGGAAACGCATCTGGCCATATCACTTAGTAAAATCTTCTTTTAAAATATTTTGCAGCACAGAAATTACTCTTCCGCTGAAATGTTTTGCAATTAAATATATATATATGTTCCTGTATCTATCGCTTTGCTTTTTTGTTAAGTATGCGTATCTTCTGTAAATGGAATTGGCTTCTTCATGTCAAAGTAATGTGCTAAAATTCCAATTTAACATAGAAAATAGAGCACAGATAGATTTTTTTGAGAAACAATGGGAAAAATACTGTAGTAGTTTTTAAAAATCAGTTTAATACTAGTGCTGTGAAATCTGAAGCATTGAAAAGATCTGAAGTCTACAACAGCCAAGTTCTTCCTGATATCCTGTATCCTCCTATAGTCTAGAGTAAATGGTGTGTATTTGAGCAATGCCTACTCACTTACTGGTGGGGTCTACTCTTACTACTAATACTGCTCTTAAAAAAAGAAAGGAAATACTTATGTACAACTTGATTAACCAAAAACGTGTTTAAGAACTCTGCCCTGTGTATTTTGTTACTCAACTTTAATGTGTTTCATTCTTCACCATGGTTGAGAGAGACTTTTCAAATTTTTTTTGTTTCAGTCTTTGTTTCAGTTTTGTTTGTAATTTTCAGAATACCTAGACATTTGCCTTGTCTCTGCAGAGATATTCTGTATGCACAGCCAAAATGCAAAATGTTTGTCTTAAAAAAGACTTTCTGCATTTTTTTTTTAGTGTTTCATATAAAAATTATTCTATATCAAGTTTGTTATTGGTTTGGATATCCTTGTAGATCGATTTTTTTCCTAGGCATGAAAAGCAGTCTGACAGATCTGTGCAGAAGTGACCTAATTTTATGCTGTTAGTGTTATATTTAATTTTATTCTGACATAGTGTTATATTTTACATTACTCATATTTTTCTTCTAGGCAAACGGAGTGGGCGTAGTAAAAAATGGAAAGAGATGCTGAAGTTACCACCTGTTAGTTATTGTGAAGGTATTAGATGCTCAATCGGTAGGTACCCTGTGTCTGTCTGATTTTTTTGAGAAGGGTAAGAGTTTGGTGGTGTTAACTGAAAGGATTCTGTCTTGCTTTTGAATGCTAATTAGGAAAAAAAGCTATTAAACTTTTAATGTGATGGAGAATTTATGAGAAGATAAATTTATGAAAAGATAAAAGCTGTATCACAGCTCCTTGTTTGTTAAAGGAAACTGCTGCTAAAGGATAAATTTACAAAGCCATGAATTAGAAAAAGGAATCATATTGTCATTTAAATGATGTGGTAATGTATTTTGCCTTTTTTCTTAATGTCTTGTAATAATTTTTCAACTTTTTCTGTTATTATTTTTAATTTCTTCTTCCCAAACAATCTTGTTTGCTTTGGGATTGCTATTTCACAGTATTGTTCCTTTCCACCCCTCAACATAAATGAAACTTAACCATATAATTCAATGTGTTTTTAATAAATGTGATAGTTTATTAGAGACAAATGTGGCTGGAAGTGAGTGTTTCACTGTTCTTTGGGATCATTGCATGGTTTTGATGTCTTTGCTAAATGTGTTAATGTAAAATCTTCATGTTTTAGTGATGGTTTTCTGACCTATTCTCAAATGGGAGTAAGGACCATGCTATGACAAAGATAAAAATAAATAAATATATTTACTTATTATTTCTTTCTCAGAAAGAGACTATAGCCAGCTTTGTGACAAGCAGCCAATAGGAAGACTTCTCTTCAGACAGTTCTGTGATTCCAGACCAGATTTGAAAAGATGCATTGAATTTCTGGATGCAGTGGTAAGCAGTGAGAAATTGGAGATGGATATTAGTAGGCAATAGCTTACACATTTTTGTTTGTAAAAACTTTGATTTTTGTGCTGGTTTTGGCTGGGATAGAGTTAATTTTCTTCACTGTAGCTCATGCTGTGCTGTTTTGGATTTTTGACCAAAACAGTGTTGATAACAAGGATGTTTTAGTTATTGCTGAACAGTGATTACACAGCATCAAGGCATTCTATGTTTCTCACACCATCCCACCAGCAAGTAGGCTGGGGATGCAGAAGAAGATGGGAGGGGATACAGCCAGGACAGCTGACCCCAGCTGACCAAGGGGATATCCCATTCCATATGACACCGTGCTTGGCAATAAAAGCTGGCGGAAAGAAGGAGGAAGGGGGGAGGTTAGAGTTATGGTGTTTGTCTTGCGAAGTAGCTGTTACGCATGATGATAAAGCCTTGCTTTCCTGGAAATGGCTAAACATCTGCCTGCTGATGGGAAGAAGTGAATGAATTTCTTATTTTGCTTTGCTTGTGTGTGCAGCTTTGCTTTATCTATTAAACTGTCTTCATCTCAACCCACAAGTTTTCTCACATCTACCTTTCTGATTATCATTGGAGGGGAGTGAGCAAGCGGCTGTGTGGGGCTTAGCTGCCTACTAGGGTTAACACACAACAATTTTATAAAATACTAGTTTTCTCTAAACACATCAGTTCACTAGTGCTGCATACATGAAATATAGTGCAATTTACTCTTTGCCAACTGAAAAACTGTAACTTTTGATAAAATTCAAAAAACTCTGTTACTTAAAGTAAGGTGTTTAAAATTTACTATAAAATCTCTGCCATCTTGGTATGGTCAGAGCTACAAAAATGGGCATGATGGGAATGAGATAAATAATTTTAGAAAGCCATGCTGCTTGACTTCTTGAGCCTAAAAGGACGTGCGTATAATGAATATTACTTATGATGCTCAGACTTGAAAATGTTGTAAACACAGACTTGAAAATGTTGCAACTTGCATGGAAGCCCTAGGCTAGACAGAATGTCCTAATTAAAAAAAAATCAATGGAGATGGAAATTTAGGGAACCATCTACGGAAGGAGAGAAACCAGATTTTAGAGACCAAGGGAAAAGGAATTGTTTTGTCTTGATACATTTGCATATATCTAACGCTAAAGAATGAGGGAAGGAAGGAAGTGTGCCCACAACCGTGTTATGTAAAAAAATCCTCATGGGGAGAGGGAAAGTGATGAGAAGAGTAGGCAGGCACATGACAGTCCTTAAAAGGACAGAATAATAGCTCAGAGCTTTTTATTCTTTATCCCTCACAGTTAATCCAAGCACAGTAAGATATAGTCTTAAATTGAGATTGCTGCCAAAAGAACAGTTTTCCTCATCCCACCCATTTTTATTCATATATTCAGGGAACAAATGACCCAAGAAGGTAGAAGTAGCGTAGTGCTGCTGCTTCCACGCATCTGAAAATACAGTATCAGAATGCAAGATGGCTCTGAAAGGTGCAGGGTGTAAGCAAGTACATGGCATTATTGCTATGCCCTCCACTTCACCATGTCTTCCATCCCCCTACGGGAGTACAAACTGAGGCACTTGATCAGCTAAAAAGGAACTTCAGTGTCAAATAAGTAGGGTTGTTTTGTATTTGTCAATGAATCTTTGTGTAATTGGGCTTACTCCCCAGGTGTGTTTCACCATACTTTTGTACCTCTTGGGAGCTGTTCTAGCACCAAATTCCAGAGACCAGTTTGACAGTTGGAGACATAGAATGGATTGAATGAAAATCTAGAACAGTGGAGCTAAACATCCTGAATTGAATGTAAACCAGAGTCTTTAAGAGCATTGCACAATGGACAGACCACTGACAACTGTGGATGTAGCCTTAACGGTTACAACTTCTGTATACATTTTTAATCCTTAAAAGTTTAGTTAAGGAGTAGCAGAATCTTTGGCAGCACAAAGGAGAAAAAAGTCTTAGGCATGTCTTTGCTCTACAGATGTCATTTTTCAGGTGAAATTGTCTCTAAGAAGTAACTGTTTTACACTACCTGAAAATTTTTAATTGTTTTGAAATATGTAACCTATAATGTTATGTGGATTGCAACACTTCTGTGAATTAACAGGGACCGTCATAGTTGAGATAATCTGGTATAAGGGATTATTTCACAATTTACTTTTTTTTTTTAATTTGTTTTTTAAGTTCCATTTGAAAAATCATCGTGAAGAAGTATGCTTGGGAATCACTGAAACTGAAGTCTCTTAAGAGCTAAGATAGTCCCTAATCGGTGACTCTTGTGATCTGAAAGCTAGCATGCTGTCTTGATCAAGGAAGTGAGATAAAATACTTACTGTCTCTTACAGATGGTTCCTGAGTTAGCCTGATTCCCTTTTCTGGACTGGACTTCAGCAAGCTTGTTCAAGCTTTTTTTGGGGTTGAGGTTTTCTTTGTTGGTTTTGTTTGTAAGGCAGTAATGTGAAGGGAAAGGCTTGTGGGGTTTTTACTTTGGGTTTTGCCAAATTTTTTTACATGTTTTTGAAAAATACATTTTAGACTTAATCTTTCTGAAAGTAAACTTTCTGGTGTAAAATGCCATAGTCTTAAGAGCCTTACATCTTAATTAAAAGAGTTTTCTGACTCTTTTATATGAAGCAATGTGGTTTCAGGAGCATGATTATTTCAGGAGGCCAAAATGGCAAAATCAAGGTAGTACAATGCTATGTTGTCTCCCTGTACTGAACACTGACTGGTAAGCTTTAACTCTTGAGAAGGTGTGACCTTAAAGTCTGGAGTCAACTTGGCTTTACAGAAAGAATTGTGAAATAATTGGATAAAAGTGACAGAAATTAAAGTGAGGAATTACAGTTATTCAATCATCCAGTGAGTCATTTCACTAGCTGGGGACGTTACTCAAGTATGAAGAAGAATAGCTGACAGCTCAAACTTCCCTCTTAAGCTCTGTGAGTAACAGAAATTAGTTGACAAGGCTGTCTCTCAAACTTCCTTTTAAATTACAGGATCTGCTTAAAACAGTATGCCTAACTGTATTAAATTAGTGACTACTTTGGCAAAATTGAAAATGTTAAAGATGCTAAGTGCACTGCTGTGGTTGATTAACTTTTCTGACCTGCTCAGGTTGTTTGGTAGTTGCAGAATTCCTTACCATTAGAGTGACTGTTGTGGAATTAAAGTAGCAAAAACAATGGCTTGCAATTACTTGTTTATGGATTTGAGTACTGTGCTGAAGTGGTTGATACCATAATGTCTCAGCAGAAAAAGATGTTGATGACTTAGTAGTGAGTCAGTGTGGGTTAATCGCAATTGATTGCGGAACTGGAGTTCAGGGATTCTGTTATTTCCAGTACTGTGTGTGTGTTTGGTTCTTGAACTGTCATTTTTCAGTGTTGTAGCTTTCTTTGTAAAGGTACATAACTTCTCTTCTGATTAGATCAATCACTTGGAACTTCATATGAGATTCTTAATGATTGTTGTCCCAATATGCCTAACTGTTGTTTTGTATGATGCAGTCCTCCATTATGGAGGTCTGCCATATGTTCTTTACTTCTAGCTGCCTGCGTTTATATTCTGAGATATGAAATAAGCTTTGATTGAGTTGGCCCAGCTTACAAAGCTAATACCGATTGCTGTTTGAGATTGCTCGTTTCTAATTCATCTTTTCCCAGATTCTGTGTTATCTTTAAATGTTGTAACTTCTGATGTCTGCTTCTATTATTCCTTAGAATTATTAATAGTAAGTAGTCCTTGGAGGTTTTCAATACTAGTATCTGTTTGATGGTGTGTTTTGTTTGGTTGGTTTTTTTCCCCATAAGTAGCTACCTCTGGAGCTCTATTAAGCTGCCAGTTGTTTATCTGCAAAATGTACTGTATTGCACAATGGTCTTTTTCTACATCACAGTACCATATATTACTAAGTCAAAAACTTAATGAAATTTTGTACCTATTCAGTTTTATTTTCTCAAAGAATGAAGTAGGGTTTGGTTTAGGTTTCACTTATTGCCAGTTAACATGACCTTGTAGAAAGTAGTTTTATCGCAGTTTTACCCAAGACTGTAGTAAAGAAAAATACATGAAGGGAAAAAAAATAGGGTGAAGAAAAAGCTGATTATTGTACTCTTATTTAATTATTTCCCATCTGGATCATTCTGTCCTACGATACTACATAAATGCTATTTCATTGTAATTGATCTAATTTAACCTCTAGGATGCAGTTTCTGTAATTGCATTTAGACTAATTGTTATTTTCGTATGTTTTCCAAAAGTTAAATTCCATGCACTTTTTTTCTTAAGACTGTTTTTCATACATGTTTCACTATGTAGCCTAAAAATCTTTAAATAGATTTTAAACAATGATAGCCTTCAGTTCCTTTTATATTAGGAGCATTGTGTTATTCATGGTAAAATTTACCTAGCGTCATATAAAAGACTGTAGTGCCAAATAGCTCTGAACATAATTTAATTTTCAATTCCATTCCCCTAGGCAGAATATGAGGTATCTTCAGATGAAAAGCGTATAGACTGTGGCCTGAAAGTTTTAGAGACATACTTCACTAATGGGGTAAATATATTATATTGCAAAATATTATCTCAGTTGTTTTGTAAATCTCAGATAAACAGAGATCTAAGTGGTTGCATTATTTTTAGCAAATTGACTTTCAAACTTCATTAGTCCCATTTTTGCCTTTCTGAAAGGTATACTGCCTTCTAAAATTGTGAAACTCTTACCAGCTTGAGCAGAAACCTTGACTGATAGCTACTTTTAAGACTACTACCATTGTGACTTATTCTCGTATGTTTTCTAATGAAAATACTGGTCTGAAGTAAAGATATATTTTTAAACAAATGCATTTAACATTTGATGAAAAGTTATTAACAAATTAATTCAGAGTTTTGTAGTCTGAAGACATGAGAATGAGAAATTCTTGAAATTCTTGGACTTCTTTCAGACTCCTGTGTGGCCTTGGTTGGTTTGCTGTAAATTTTCAGAACTGTTGCAGGTTTTCACAAAGTGAAATGCTGTTTTGTTTTGTTGTGTTCTAGAGCATTCTCTTTCTCTGTATTTTGCTTGGAGATCATTAACAGCTGATCTTTTGCATATATTAGATCTCACTGATTGATTTTTAACAGTCTGTTCTTTGGTATCCAGTAGAAGCTTTTCTGTGGATATATAATTAGATATTTGCTTTCTATGAATAGATGCTCCTCCGGCTTTTCTTACTTTGGTCATCTTGAGAAGACTTTACTCCAAATGAAGGTCTTGCAGATGCTTTAAAAGCAGATAGACTCCAAGTTTGCCACATCTCTTCTGATAATTTCTTTGGGACTACCCTAAGTCACATGCAGTTTTTGCAAAAAGCCCCAGATTTCTTTGGATTGATTTGAAATAGTTTCCCAACTTGTATTTGCATTTCTTTCCCCTTCCTTTCTTTCTTCCTTCCTTTCTTCCTTCTTTCCCCTTCCTTCCTTCCATCCAAAAGCAAATAGATCATTTGGTGGTAGACTTCTGGAAAGAAAAATAAATTTGACTTATTGCCAAGTTTGTTTCCCCAAATGCTGAGATAGTAAATAGCTGGAATAGCTTTCAATGCATTTTTCTGTAATAGGGAACAAATGAAAATTTTGCCTGAATATGAATTTCTTGGTTTTCTCTTTAGCCAAACCATTCCTTTCCTTTTCCTGTATTAGAAGATTTCATTTCACTTTGAATACAGAACTTTTAGTTGTTCTATTGATTTACGAAATTGCTTTAATTGTTGCTTTTTTTTTTTTTTTAAAAAAAAATTATGTAAAGTCTGCAGCACACTTGCCAGAAATACCTCAGGAAACAGTAAATGAATGTAAAGCAAGGCTGGAAAAGAACCCTTCCAAGGATCTTTTTATGGTCTGTACTAGGTAAGTTAAAAATGCATAGTGCTAAGTTTGAGTATCAGAAGAGAAATTTGTATGTTTCTGAGAGAAATTAAAGGTGAAGTTATTACACCCAGGAGTATTTGATCTCTGAAATGAGTATAGGTAAGGAATTTGGAACAGATTTATTAAAGGACTACATTTCCTTCAGATGTGATTTACATGTTTGACTTTTGCAGAGCTTTTTCTTTAATGCTGTTTTTGCATAAAGTCACACTATTATCTGCTACCAAGTATTCTCTAAGCTAGAATAGTATTTCTCTTTATTATATTCTTACCTTTTAGGTGACTTCTCTTCCATGGTGAAGGTACTAAGAAAAATAAAAAGTTTCAAACCCCAGTTTATAAGGTTTCTGAACAATGTTACACAATTTATGGTTCTTGAAAATGGGTTGAACTGAGACCAACAGTTACATTCAATTAAGATGGCTGATTAGGGGATCCATCGTGATAGTTAACACAAACAAATACAACTTGGTTTTGTTCTGAAGTCATGAAGTGGTATTTCACACAGCAGCAGCAAGGAAGGCTTTCCTTGGAGGAACAGTACATGTTTACCAGTGTTGCATGTCTTTCTAAAGCTTTTATGTTTCTAATATTACTGGTTCTTCAAGGCATGCTTGATCATGTCTGAAGGATTACAACATGTTTTGTCACTGCTTGGGTCATCTCCGTGGCAACAAAAATCAGCATACTTCATAGCAACCTGAGATTGTAAGATTGAAAGGGATGTGTGAGAACACCTAGTAAAACATGTCTCAAATGGAGGACCTGTCATGTAGGTCATCCCCTTTCCTCTGTCCAATAAATATTTGAATACGGTTTGAATGACTTGTTTTCCTTCCCCACACCTTGGTGTGTTTAGTTTAAGAGGAATTATAAAGTACCTGGTGTTGAGGTTTGCATATGCCATTGAGTATTTAATATTTCAACTTCAAATCCTGGAATAAAATTTTACTTAGCAGTCTCCAAAGAGTGTATGAAAACTTGTAGATACTTTCCTGTAAATATCTTTCAAAGGTCATATTTGTGGAGTCATACGTGCATTGCGTATCTACACAGAGGCTTATGTTTAGGTGGGCTTAAAGACACTTAAAGAGAATGCGGAGGTCAAACTTTCTAGTTACTATAAGTAACAGTAGTTTGGCTTTCACTAGTGTTTTGACAGTAACAGTTTTCTGTCACATGCTCTCACTTGGTAAGACATCTAGGTTAAAACCATTGTAGAGCAGTGACACAATGTTCTGCCTATAACTTCATTGATATGTTCAAGTATATTTTAATAGATTGATAGCACCTCCTGCTTCATCAGTTTTTTAGTATAAGATTGATTTTATTTTCCTGTTGCTAGAATTGTCCATGAATACCTAAGCAGAAGACCTTTTGAAGCTTACCAAGAAAGTGTGTATTTTTCTCGTTTTTTACAGTGGAAGTGGCTGGAAAAGTAAGTTTATTTATAATGTTTGCATTATAATTTTGCTTTGCTTTGTGTCCAATTCTGCTTGTTATGCTGGAAATGCTGTTAGAGCATTCATTAGAGCCCTAATGAATGTCACTACCTATCTAAGAAATTATGAAATAAGAGACAAGATGTAAAGGATGATGATGGGACAGTGAGAGACCCAATACTCCAACAGAATTATCTGTCCAGTAGTCTTTCAGTGGTAAATTTGTATTAGGTAAATGCAAATTTATTATCATGTGGATATATGTTTGGCTATATATGTGTGCAGTGGGATACTAGTCTTTCTTGGGAGTGCTATCATCCTTCAGTTTCAAACTTGGTCTAATTAGTGGTTAATAAGCAGATTGATCTAGTTTCATAACCCACTGGGTGATTGGGTAACTAATCAGTTTTTCAGGGTGGTACAGACACAGATCTAGTAATTACAAGACCAGCAAGATTTGTATATATCAGAATCTAGTTTGGGCTTTTAAATCAATACTAAATGAGTGTCCAAACTTTTTCAGAAGGCTGAAATTGGTACAAATTGATTCTAATTCAGCACTGCTGGGTATCATGATCACATATTCAAACATTAAGGTGCTTGAACATTAATTTTATGGTAAATACCAATTATCCAGTGTCCTTATTTGACTGAATTAGTAGCAAAAGCCAAGAAGAGAACTAGGGAAGTTACTCAAATAATTAAACAAAATTCTCTACCAAATGAACCTCCATTTTTTGTCCTGAGAAGAAAGCTGCATTAACAATGAATGCTTTTTTAAAACAGAACAAAAAAAACCCCACCACCATGAAATAGCCCTGCTCTGATACATGCTTAGGAGTGTTTTAGCATAGAATGGCTGACACCTTTACTGCCTCCAGTTATCTGGAGTTATCTCTTCCATTACATCAATGCCTTAACGCTTCGGCTCTTGAACTGCTGTTGCATACCACAACTCTTTCTTTCTTGAAAAAGTGAAACAGGAAAATCAGAAATGGTTTACTTTTTAAGTGCTGCATTGTAAGTATGATCGCATTGAAATGCAGCCTACATGTCAGCATACTGCAACTAAGGGAGACAACTGGAGGTGATAAATTGACTGTTGATGAGAACAGAGAAGGTTCTAACTGTAAACAGCATAGGGCCAATTGATCAGCTTTTCTTCCTGCTATTGTGAATGTCTGATGACCACATGAGGGAGCCAATGTTTCTAATCAGAGCACCCCTTTCATTTGTAATTCAGTTTATTGTAATACTGTCTTCATGAGATCAAGGCAACTGTTGTTCAGTAAGGTATCAGAACAGGAAGGAGAAAATAAAGACAGACCTTGGGGTGGGGAGGGGATTAATAACTCTTGTAATTCCTGTTGCAGTAATGATTTCTTTCTGTTAATCAGGCAACCGGTAACCAAACACACATTTAGGCATTACCGAGTACTAGGCAAAGGTGGATTTGGAGAGGTAAGTACAGAAGTATCTTTCTGTGAGGCAATCCTTAAGGAAAAAAAAAAGGTTAATAGAGAGGAGAAGCAGCTTTTTAACTCTTGACTCTAACAATCTACATTTGACACCACCTGGCAAACTGTCATCAGTCCAGACTGTCTTCTTTCAGTGTGTTAGTTTCAGTATTGTAGGTCATACACAAAGTTGGAGAAAACTTCCACTGACTGACAACAGTTGCTTCTGTTTACAAATTTCATTTGACAATGAGAATGTAGTTTCTACATAATTATTATGCAGAATATTCATGAACCTAATAGGAAAATCCATAGATTTTATTAGTTCTATCTATACTTCATTGGGATTTCCCCCCCCCTACATATTTTAACCGGAGCTCCATAGTGAAGAGGAAGGAGGATTACTAAATTATCATTATCTTTCTTCCACTTGATTATGGTATGGATACTTGTCCTCTGTCCTGCTTGCCTAGACCTATACTGCTACCAAGTCAGTTGTTTCACCAACACAAGATCCACCATTTTACTGAACCATTCAACCCCAACAAAAATGGGTTTGCTGCTGTATAATCAGTTTTTCTACTTCTGTTACAGCTTTTGTGATCCTTCAAAGTTGTTTCATGGGTGAAAGCTCTGTATTGATGCGTACAAACCTTCATTTTCTGAAACCATTCAAGAGTTTGAAAAAAGAAAATAAAATTTTATCATCTTTTAAAAAAACTTCTAAAAAACCCCTAGCATCTCTGACACACCTTCCTTCTTTTTTAGGTGTGTGCCTGTCAAGTACGGGCAACAGGAAAAATGTATGCTTGTAAAAAGCTGGAAAAAAAGAGAATAAAGAAGAGGAAAGGAGAATCAATGGCTTTAAATGAAAAAAGAATTCTAGAAAAAGTGAATAGTAGGTTTGTAGTAAGTATCTACTTCTGATCTTATTCTTAGAAGCGTGTCTTGCTTTGTTTGCTTCATTTCAGTCTCTTCCAGGAGCTTGTTGGGCACAAGACACTTTTTAATTGATTTAGAGAATGCATGACTGCTGAGAGAAATGATTGATGTAAGAAGTAGTATGTTTTGTGTATGATTCTGAGTATTTCTGTGCAGAGGGCTTTTTTTTTATCCAATATTGAATTGGTTTTAGTCTGCCAGCTTTATTTCTCACTTAGAACCAAAACATTAGGTTGCATTTCAGCATGCTGATTCCACTGAATCTTTGTCCTCTGTTTAAAGGTGAATAGATTATTCTGTAGTACTCGACTTGAATCATCACTTAAATTCTATTTCTGCTGCAGCCTATGACTAAGTATGTTTGGCTATGTTCAATGAAAAGGATATTCCATAGGCTTTATTCCATACTATTTTTCTCTTCTCTGATTCTCTTCTCTGTCTCTTCCAATGCATTGTCCTCTGTTTTCTTCTCCTACTCCCTTCTTCCCTTCCATACTCCTATTTTCATATAATTAATGCTGATTTCTAATTTCATTTTTGGAGGTCATTCATAAATGCACTTAAAAAAGGGTGACTTCATGAGACTCCACCATTTAATTGCCATTAGAAGTTTTGCATATCCTGCATTTCTGTGACATTAAATAGTAGAATTTTTATATCCTTAGGTATTTTCATAGCATTTGTTACTCTATTGCTTATACATTTCAAGATAAATATGAAATTTGACTGGTATATTGATTCAGGTTAGTTACATTGCTTTGCTGTGTACTAAGGCTTAAAGGAGTATATTGCATGTGAAACAATTAACATAACTTTTTAATAGAAATTACACAGAATGAAAATCTTAGTCTTAATACGTAAATTATGGTCTGTTAGTAGCTCTAATTACTAAGCAGTGAAATAACTTTTAATGATTAAAGATATACCAAGTAAACTTTCCCCCAGGTAATGGTGGGGTGTTTTTCATTGAATTGTGGTCATTTAAATGTTAATTTTAAATGCATTTTGCTTTGTTTTTAAATCCATTTACTGATAAATTTTGTTCAGAGAGGATTTTAAAGTACCTGTGTTACAGGATAGTGGATGTTGTTTATAAATAAATATATATATGTATGTATAAAATATGTATGTATATACTTTCTGATAAGCTTTCTGTATTAAAAAAAACCAAACCCTGTAGAATACTGCCAGCTAAAAGAAAAAATAAGACCCTGCTGGCCCGGTACATTAATATTTTAAATGATTATAAATAATGTTTTCGTATAAATATGCTAATGTTATTTTCTCACAAGGCTTATGGGCTTGAATTGATTGAAATTGAATCCAGAAGTTACCTGAATTGATCCAGAAATTACTAGTTGTAGAGATACAGCAGATAAGAGTGAAACTTCTATTTTTGACTAATATTTTTTCAACAGGTGTAAATACTATAAATCACTAATTGATCAAAGTTAAATTTGAAATCACTTTATAGGATTGAGCGTAAGTTATTTTCCTCTTGCTGTCTGATGTTTTTTTGATGCAACAGAGAAGATCTAGATCAAGGATTTGCAGTAATACTGGGTTGGAAGTGAGCAGATAATTTGTGATGCCTATGTCACAAGTCATTAATAGCTGGACACATCAGTTTAAAGCCACCAAATAGGAACCCTTGCCCTGAGTAGCTGATTTGTATATTTGTTTCATTTTATTATTTAGTATTGAATTTATGCTTCTGAAGGAAGAGTTTGGACTTATTACTGAATTATGCCCTTTAGGTACTTGTACTGCATTTAAAAATACATTTATTGAGTAAAAAAAAATCCTACTGATTTTAAAAATATTTTTAATATTTAATATCTTTATCAATGATCTGGACAACGGAGTCGAGTGCACCCTCAGTAAGTTTGCGGACAACACCAAGTTGAGCAGGAGCATTGACCTGCTTGAGGGTAGGAAGGCTACAGAGGGATCTGGACAGGCTGGATCGATGGGCCGAGGCCCGTTGTATGAGCTTCAACAAGGTCAGGTGCTGGGTCCCGCACTTGGGTCACAACAACCCCATGCAACGCTACAGGCTTGGGGAAGAGTGGCTGGAAAGCTGCCCGGCAGAAAAGGACCTGGAGGTGTTGGTTGACAGCTGGCTGAATATGAGCCAGCAATGTGCCCAGGTGGCCAAGAAAGCCAATGGCATCCTGGCTTGTATCCAAAACGGTGTGGCCAGCAGGACTAGGGAAGTGATTGTCCCCCAGTACTCTGCACTGGTGAGCCCGCACCTCAAATACTGTGTTCAGTTTTGGGCCCCTCACTACAGGAAAAACATTGTACTGGAGTGCATCCAAAGAAGAGTGATGAAGTTGGCAAAAGGTCTACAGCACGAGTCCTGTGAGGAGCGGCTGAGGGAGCTTGGGTTGTTTAGCTTGGAGAAAGGGAGGCCCAGGGGAGACCTCATCGCTGTCTACAACTACCTGAAAGGAGGTTGTAGTGAGGTGGGGGTTGGCCTCTTCTCCTCAGTAACAAGTGATAGGATGAGAGGAAATGGTCTGAAGTTGCACCAGGGGAGGTTTAGATTGGGTATTAGGAAGAATTTCTTCACCAAAAGAGTTGTCAAGCATTGGAACAGGCTGCCCAGCGAAGTGGTGGTGGAGTCACCATCCCTGGAGGTATTTAAAAGGTGTGTAGATGTGATGCTTAGGGACATGGTTTAGTGGTGGACTTGGCCATGTGAGGTCTACAGTTAGACTCAATGATCTTAAAGGTCTTTTCCAACCTAAACAGTTCTATGATTTACCTAGATTACTCACCTAATGTAAGCTAAGTATATATTTAAATCCTATTGCTCTTAGTACAAGTTAGTTAATCTCTGTAGGTAATTTTGAAGGTCCTGCCAGATGATCATCAGCACAGCACTGCTTTTTCTATTGAAACTGAGTTTGTAACTTAAACAATGTGTTAAGTTTTGTGGTATATTACATTGTTTTAAAATTGGGCTTTTTTGAATTCACAAGTCTACTTTAAAGATTTAAATGCACTTTAAAAACATTTACCTAAAACCTAAAAGAAAAAAAAGAGTGCTGTTCTTCCTTCCCTATCAGCACCACATTCCAAATACAGTGAGAAGACTATAAAGAGCTATACTAAGTCTACTGTTGACAAGTTTTAAGCCAGGGAAATATGCGGTTACGGGGGCGGGGGCAAGGGGAGGAACAGAAACTACACATTTGATCTTAAATAACTTTTTTAATTTCTCT